TGATAGAGCCCTGCACCGAGCTAGAACAACTCCTCGACGGGTGAGAGGGGATGGGAGGACATTGAGCTCGTGTAGCTCGCTCTTTGCAGGGCTCTTCCTTCCTTCTCCCCGGAGGGCGCCGGCGGCGCCTGAACCGTCCCCTATCCTCGCCGCTGCGGTCCCTAACAAGCCCTCTGCTGCAGCCTTTCCCGGCCGCGGTCGGCGCCCGAGCCGCGCCCCGCCTGCGGCCGAATATTCATTCTCATGAGAAACGACGGGCGGTTTTTCGCGGACCTGGCGCGAAGGAGTTGTGGAGCGGCGGCGTCGGGGGGCGAACGCGTTCGCTAAAGACACGCTCCTGTGCTCAACTCGACGCCGCACGACGACGCGAGAAAAAACATATTAAAAACTTCCCCCTGCAAAAAAAAAATATATATCCCGTTTTTGCATCCTCGCGGAAGGTTATATAAAGCGACCAGGGGACGGGCGATTATCACCCCACCCTAATAAACCACTCGGAACGTTGCCGAGTGAAAAGCACGGAAAGGGGTTGATTGAATGACCATAGCGAGACACACACACACACACACGCACGGACACAGTCACAGCCAAACACAGCCTGCAGCCGCTACTGTGTTGGCCACCCTGTTACACCAGGGACACACGTAACGTTCGCGACATGCTGCAGCTGTTGTTGCTGCTGCTGCTGAGGCGCGCGCCTACGGCAGCCCAGCAGCCTGTGGTGGCTGGCGCACGGCCTGTGGTCGGCCGGTGTGGCACCTACCGCGAGGCGAACTCTATTCATCCGACTTTCTGTCCGTCTGTTTGTCTGTCTGTCTTGCCTGCCGCGCGTCCCGTCCGGCTGTCCGCCCGCGGCGTGTGCGGCGAATGGCGTAACCCTTTTTCAGGGTGTTTCCACGATCGTGTGGTGAGGGAGGACGCGGGGAGCGCGGCGGCGCCAGCACGACGACACGGGGCGGGGCTGGACCAGCAGAAGCTCACCGAGCGAAGGCAGAGCTATCAAAGTTCGCGTACCCCGAGCGCTGTCCCCGGATTGTGCAGCATACCGAACCGTATGGCTGCGATGGAGGCGCTTTGATGGTCGGGCTTTGACTCGGTGACATGGCTGGCCTGTCGTACCGTTAAACTGTGGGAGCTCGGCGCCTGTGAGACTCGGGGTAGGCCACCGTGCAGTACACGTGTGCACTGTAGGCGAGATTTTGCCTACCTATTAGGCGCTCTGAGGGCTCGCCTAGGCTGAATAACTTGGCGGGCTGGTATTACGGCGAATGACGGACGCACTTCCTGGATGATCCCAAACCTTCAGACGCCT